AGGACAGCAGAAAAGAATTCTCCCGGAGGAAGAAGGGGACCCAAAAGGCAGAATCCATGGAAGGGGGAGGTCTTCCCTCTTTTATAGCTAAGGTCTTCTCTTTTAGTTTTCCTACATTCGTGTCTTCCTCTTTTTTGTTTCCCTTTATCTTGCAGTGATAGAATGCAGGTGGGAAGGTCCAAAAGGTGGGAGATGGGTGGGCTGAAGGAGTAATCTGGGCAGGAAGGGCCTGGGGCGGCTTTTGATTAGCACTTCCTCTTTTGCTGGGAGCTGCTTCATTAATAGTTCCTTAGGATGGGTTCTGGGCCTAGGGGACATTAACATTTCAATTTCTCCAAGTGCTGCTCTGCTTTCCTGGACTCCATTCCCTATAATGGCCTCCATTTTCTTTATTTTACTCAATATTAGACCTGATTTACCTAACTACACTAATTACCTATCTTTAAATCTGGCTTCATTGTATCATTTAGGGGAGGTAGATAACCATATCCTTCTGGGATGCAACCCAGGAGTGCTCCAGGGCTGAGATATATTTCCAGTCCTTTTTGTAAAAAAAAAAAAAAAAAAAAAAAAAAAAACAAAAAACGATTATTATTTTTTATTTTGAGGCTCTCACTAAGTTACTGAGCCTGGCCTCAAGCTTGGGATCCTCCCGAGTCTCCAGGATTACAGACTTGCTCCACTGCACCTGGCCTAGGGATTTTCATATATATTTGCTTCATTTGATCTCCAGAGCAACATGCTGCAGTCTGTATGCTTATAATTTCCATTTTCCATACAAATAGAAAACTATGTTTCAAAGAAATGAAATGATCTACTCTTGGAATTTTAATCTGAACCTGTTTGACTTCAAAGCCCTACCAATCTCCATGTTGTTACCCAATCCAGAGGGGTTATGTTCATAAAATGTCCTTATTTCACAATATTATAGGAAGCATTCTTAGCCTGGTTTCTTCCAAGTTTCCAGAGCTCCTGATTTACTTTCAGTGCCCAAAGCAAGAGGCAACTCCCTTCAGAGATTTCAAAAGAGTTAAATGATAATTTCTCCTGCTTCTCATCACAGCATCCTTTTTCTTTTTAAACTGCCTGCATCGGGGCTTAGTGACAATAGATGAAAAACGAAAAAGGATGCCAGACAATGGCAACCTTCAGGGTAGCAAGAATGCCTTTTTTAGTAGGCAGCTTCTAAGGTCTCAGTACAATGAGTGCTGTTGGCCTGGATCACCCAGTCAGGAGGGTAAATTGGCAGTGCAATTTCTGCCTCCTGCCCAGAGGCGCCTATTGTCTTCACACTGGTCCTTGGCACCCTAGGGCATCCCTCATCCCTGCACTGTGGTGTCCCAATTAGGCTTACTCTGTGTGGCTGGCACCCATCAACCAAAATTATTCCTCTCTGTTCAGCTACAGAATTGTCATCTCTATTTCCAACTGGCAACAGCTTGTCACCCATCTGAGATATATTTCCATCTAAACAAAGCTCTATGCCAGCCCTTTGCATAAAAATGTTCAATGTTTTCCCATTGTAGCCAGAATAAAACCCAAACTCCTTGCCTTGGCCTCTGAGGCCTTCTATGGTCTGGCCCAGTCTAGCACATCATGCGCTATTACTTCCCTTCTTACTAATGGGACAACCCAGTTATATTCCTTCATTTTTCACAAATACTCCAAAATCATTTTCGTTTTCTTTTTCTGCAATCTGGCTTCTTCTCCTCACACAGGGCTTACCTCGGTTGAAAACTAGAGAGTCTTTGCTCACCCATCAACCTTCTACATCTTCCTTCTCACTCACCTGACTTTGCTTTATTCATTTTCTATTTTTGATACTGGGCGTCAGATCCAGAGACTTGCACATGCCAGGCAGCAGCTCTACCACAGAGCTACATCACCAGCCTGACCTCACTCTAATCACCTCACCCTTTTTTTTTTGGTACTGGGGACTGAACTCAGGGGCACTTAACCACTGAGCCACATTCCCAGCCCTTTTTTGTATTTTATTTAGAAATAGGGTCTCACTGAGTTGCTTAGGGTCTCACTAATTTGCTGAGGCTGGCTTTGACCTTGAGATCTTCCTGCCTCAGCCTCCTGAACTGTTGGGATTACAGGCACATGCCATTATGCCCGGCTCTATTTTTTTTTAAAGAAAAAAAATTTAAAAATAAAGTTTCAGCCATAGTGGTACAAATCTCTAATTCCAACTACTAGGGAGACTGAGGCAGGAGGATCACAAGTTTGAGGCCAACTTCAACACTTTGTGATACCCTCACCAAAATAAAAAATGAAAAGGACTGAGGATGTAACTTAGTGGTAAAGTTCTCCTGGGTTGAATCCCCAATACTATACCCCCACCTTACCCTACCCCCCCCATAAAAAAAGAAAGAAAGAAAAAAGAAATTGTTTTATTGTCAGAGTCATATTTTAGATTTGTGTGTTAATTTTGTTTTGTGACTCTCTCCATTGTTAGAACCTAAGGTCTGTTTGTAAGGAGCTATCTCTGTTTTATGCATAGAACCAAACATACTTGGTAAATATTGATCAAATGAGAGCAACATATTTATATTGATGAATGGCTGACCATCATTGGAATTCCAACTACTGTGATAATCAGAAAAAAAGAAAAATTTGCATAGAAACTGGTGGTGGGGGCAGGTGGTAGTGGTGAAGAGGTGGAGGGTGGGGGGATGAGTAGGAGGTGGGAATCAGGTCCTACTGTATTCCTAAGATTCCTCATAATTATTACTATATATGTCATAAACAAACATAAGTCATTGTTCTACATTGTTCCAATATCACAAATTTCAGTTACCATAGTTTAGTTTAATAAGCAAGTCCTCCAACAATATAGTTAAATTTTCTATTACTCACGGCTGCATTAATTGTAATTGAATAAAGTTCAAACATTACTACCAGTTCTAGTCCACTAATAACTACGGGAATAACAGATGCACACTTAGAACACTGACCAATCACATCATTTCTTTCAAAGTCTGTGTGCACTTGTTTTGCCTCCTTGTACCTCAGTGTTGAACTCTTTTTTTCTTTTGGTACTGAGGATTAAACCCTGGGGCTTTAAAACACTGAACCACACTCCCCAACCCTTTTTATTTTTTATTTTGAGACATAGTCTCATCAAGTTGGTTAGGGCCTCACTACGTTGCTGAGGCTGGCTTTGAACTCCAGATCCTCCTGCCTCAGCCTCTCGAGCCACTGGGATTACAGAAGTGCACCACTCTGCCCATTTTAGTGATGATTTCTTTTAATATTTTGAGAAAATAGATACTTGAAAGAGAATTGACCAACAGAGATAAAAGTGCAGCAAAGAGCTTGGTGCCCTGATGTACACCTGTTAATCCCAGTGGCTCCTGCTGAGGGCCATTGCTAAGTAAGAATGATGCATGGCATGACCCAGGTCATTTGCAGTGTCATTGCATGTAAGGTGACCTTGCTCAAGGACCAGGGCGGATCCGGGTTTAGGGCGGATGGGGTTTAGGGTGTTCCCAGTTTAGGACAATCCGGGGGTTTAGGGCGGTTCCAGGTTTAAGGTGTACCCTTCTGGGAATAGGGCGTATCCTGTTGCCTCAGGCGCGCCTGCTCTTTGAGTTCCCGTTGAGTTCTCATTGAGTTCTTGTGGGATTCAGAGAGTATTTGGGATTTTGCCCAGAACGTGATTTGGGCCCAGAACGTGAATTCCCCCAGAACGTGTGTGTAAGTGCCAGTGACAGTTCGAGAATAAAAAGTTGCTGTTTGAATCTACAAGGTGTGTGGTGGCTCGTGATTTTGTGCCCAGCCAGACTGCGGCAGCTCCAGCGGCCAAGGCAGGAGGACCATGAGTCTGTAAGGGTAAAAGAAATTGAAGTTAAAGCGTAAAAGTTAAAGGGTAAAAGACCGGGTGTTGTAAAGTTTTTAAGCTGCAAGGTCTGAGTTAAAATGTAAAGGATGAGGTATTGTTAGGTTTCTATGCTACCTGCAAAACCTGAAATTTCTGTAGCTGTTAAGACAATGCTTGGAACTGCCCAGTAAATATTTCCCCTGAATACTTGGTTGTTTAATGACTGAAGGGCTCTGTGTAACTGGTCACGTAGTCATTTAGGCCCTAAAACCAATCAGTTTGAATGTAACCCCCTCCTTAGGAATGACCTATCATTCCAGCCTGACCTGTTCCCGCCAATGAATGAACTAATCATGTTTAGGAGTTGTTGTTCAATTTTCCCGCGCCTCATGATGATTTGTTCTGATGAATACAAAGCCCTCCACCCTCCCCAAAAAGTGTACTTAAGCAGTGCTTAGCCCCTGCCCGGGGCTCTGGGCTGCTTTCCCTTCTTGAGTGGGCATGGAGCCCCAGCATGCTGGTTCAATAAATCCCCTTATGCCAATTGCATGAGTGGTCACTTGGTGGTCTCTTTCTCCGACGTTTCACGGGACCCTTACAAGTTCAAAGCCAACCTCAGCAAAAGTGAGGCACTAAGCAACTCAGTGAGACCCTGTCTCCAAATAGAAAAACAAACAAACAAATAAAAAAACAAAACAAAACAAAATAGGGCTGGGGATGTGGCTTAGTGGTTGAGTGCCCCTGAGTTCAATGAGGGTACATCGTATCCCAGCCCCTTTCCTCCCCCAAAAAGTGCAGCAAATAACTAGGTGTAGTGGGTGCACCTGTAATCCCAGCCATTTAGAAAGCTAAAGCAGGAGGAGCACAAGTTCAAGTCCATCCCGGGCAACTTAGAAAAGTCTTGCCTCAAAAAATAAAATAAAATAAAAAGGACTGGGGATATAGATCAGAGGTAGATCACCCTGGGTTCAAGCCCCAGTACTGGAAAAAAAAATTGGAATCAAAGGTAAATGAAATTGTAGAAGAACTACTACTTAATCTGTAATCACATTTAGGAAAACATTTAAAAACAATTTATATCCCAACAGAATTGCTGTGCCATCCATAATTTATCATAATTATAATTCATAATTTACCTTGCAAACTTTATTTATTTATTTATTTATTTTTTGAGATGGTTTCTTCTCTCTATGTTGCCCAGGCTGGTGTGGAACTCCTGGGCTTGTTATGCTCGAATTCAGGACCCCCAAAGACCACCTGAGACCCAAGATCGATGTAAGCAGCAAAGAGGTGTTTATTGTGAGCTAGATCCGTCCTCTGCGCATACACACAGCAACTGCTGATGCTGAGAGGCCCCGAGCCCAGGGTTTGCACCATTTTTATACATTCTTTGGAGAGGGCAGGGACTTCACATACATCATAGCCTCTTTTAGCAAATCATCACACACCACGAGAAAATCAAATAACAACTCTAAAACATGATTAGCACATTCACTGGCAGGAACAAGTTGGGTAGGGGTGATTGGTCAGTACAAAAGGGGTATTCATTTGAACTGATTGGTTTAAGCCAAGAGGGGTGTACTTGCTGAACTACATGGTTTCCCAACTTGTTATCAACCACCATAAACTACTGGGAGGGTTATCTGGCATCCCAGGTATTTCCCTGTTTCATGCTAATTGGCTGCTAGGGGGTTGCTATGGGTCCCCACCTAGCCTGACTGAGTCAGGGACACCTGGCACAGCAGATCTCTCCTGTTATTTGTAGATAAACAACTTAGCAGGGTGGGAATGTGCCTAGGAGTGCTCTGTGGGTTTTTCCAAGGGCAAAGGCCATATCCCTTCCTTGGATAGGCTTTGCTCTGAGATAGAGGCTGGTTTTTCAGGCTCAAGTGGCCCTCTTGCCTCAGCCTCCCAAGTGTTGGGACTGCAGACATGCACTACCATGCTTGGCACGAGCTCACTTTTTGACCATTTCTCTTATGTGAGTATCAACACAACCAGAGCCCATGCCTTTCATTTACCGGCCTCAAGCCATTCAATTGCTTGCTAAATGTTTCTTTTTCCTTCCAATCTTGCCCCAAAAGCAAATGAACACCTGGCATCTTGGATATTTATTTGAGATCTCAGCCATACAAATTTCCCAAGCACTGTCTTTTCAAATAAGTTGTGTGTCAGAACAAGAGCACATTTTTGCCACTGACCTCAGCTCGGGGCTCCAACCTGGCAGGAGTTCTGTTTCAGGGCTTCTCACAGGTAGGGGCTATTGCTGTGGCTTATGCAAAATAGGCATTTAAAGCCTGAGTCCACACTCACAGAGCAGGAAGGAACTCCTTGCTGTGACTGTGATGAACACCTAATGTGAGCACTAGGAGGCCACATCTGTGAGTCTTTAATTAGTCCCCCCTGCAGGTTCCCCTACCAGGGCAATAGGAGGGCACCATTAACAACACCTGGCAGAGATGCTCAATTCTAACCCTATGAGCCTTGGTTACCACCTCAAATGTGAAACCTGCCATGCTACTTCTTCCACATTTACCTTGATACTTCTTGCTGCTGGGTTTCTGGTAAATCCTAAAACCCTATCTAGTGGAATGGCTGCCCCATTGTAAACAACGCCCCTGTACCCATGGACTGTTTTCAGAATATGTGCTTCTCACCTCTTTGCCATGGCTGCAGCTACCCCATAATTGAATCTTCTCACCCATTTCCTGTTCTGTTTATGAAGGAATCTGAACCCCAATGAGTGCCTGGTCTGGTGAACTGCCTTTTAATCCTTATAAATCATTTTACAAAATGCTAGAAACAGTTTAAAAACGATAGGCCCAGTGGTGGTTTATTTTTGCCAATAAGTATTTTCTGAAAACTAATGAGAATTCAAAAGCCAACATGTTCTTTCTTCAGATTTTTATGACACTAGAATGCTGATTTCCATTTTTTGTCATATATTGTTTCCTTGATCCTATTTTATGCAGAAAGTAAAGGTGTAGAAACCATGCATCTGTGTTTTGTTATTCTTTCTGGAAGGCAAAATACCTTCCTCTAACCCTTGCCTTTCACCTGTAATGAGTTTTGTGTTTCATTTTGATTTGATTTTCTTTCAGTTATGCTACATCAATAGACAAAGCTTGAAATATTATATTTTAGATCCATTTTGCTGGAAGAGCAAACTAAACATTTCATTTAGTGCTATAGCCCCTGGAGGCCCCAAGAGGAAAATGTCACTATTTTCATGCTTGGGATAGTTGAGAACAATCACTTCTTGTTATTACTAAATCTTCAGAATTAACTGGTTCTGGGGAAGAAGAGCAAAGCATAAATATTTGAGTATTTCCTGCATGTATCAATCCAATGGGTCACATCAGTCCAGGACCTATATGAGTTAGTCTATTTGCATGAGGAATAGGTGTCCCAGAAATAAAGCTATGAGTAATGTCAGGCTTGAGTGTAAGAATGATATTCTGAGATTTAAAAATGTATATAAGAATGGAGTTCACTCACACATAACCTCAAAGATTGCTCTGAATGAAAATAGTGTTATTATGCTGGTATAGAATTATGGAGATTTAAACTGGGAGCTCTATTTTTATTCTCTCATTTTAGGCATGAAGAAATGGAGGCCGAGGAAGGCCAAGAGACTGTCAAAGTTCAGGCAGCTTGTGGCAAAGAAATGCACAAATATAGACTATGAGAACTGTGGCCTAGCTTTCCTCAAATTAAGGATGGCTTTTCATGATTGTTGATTATCACCTTAGGGATTACTCAGGGCTACTGCTTTTCATCCTTAGATTGTTCCTGCCTCTATTTTAAAACATTTTTCTGATTGCAAATCCTCAGTCAGCCAATTTTTGTATTCTGTAGAAGATTTAATGGGAATGAGTATTTTTTAAAAGATAAAAATACGGGATTGGGTATGTAATCAGTGGTAGGGCACTCACTTGCCTAGCATGTGTAAGGAATTGGGTTTAATCCCCCAACACCACACACACACACACACACACACACACAGGTAAACCCGAACTTTTATAAGCTTCTCTTATTTTCATCTATGGCCCCAAGTTAATTAAAATTATTTTAATGCATATGTATCTCTTCTTTATTATCAACAAAGATGCATATCATTATGTTACAAAAAATGTTATTCCAGATAATTCTATCTATTAATGTACTTCATCCCATGGCATTAGAAAGTAGTTTGCAATTTGATTTGGTAGTCATACTTGGACTGCAATAAATAAGGTATATTATAAGGTATTGGAATAAATACTACATTATTTGTAATGGAATCAGAAGAAAGTTGAAGTTGTTGATGGGATAGGAATCATTGTGGATTGTGGCAAAGGTTAGACTAATGCAGGAGAGAGGTTCCAAATACAATCTGGAAATTTTTCTGTTGAGTGAAATTGTTTGAATTTTATCATATGTTGTACAGTAGAGGCAACTACAAAAATTTTTTCCAGTTTTACATTCACATCTTTTATTTTTATTTTTTATGATGCTTGGGATGGATCCCAGGGGTGCTCTACCACTGAGCTACATTCCCAGCCCTTTTTGTTTTTTGAGACAGGGTCTTGCTAATTTGTCCAGGATGGCCTTATGCTTGGGATCCTCCTGCATCAGCCTCCAGAGTCTCTGAGATTACAGAAGTGTATCACCACACATGGCCCAACATTATTCTTATGTATTTATTTATTTAGTATTGGGGATTAAACCCAGGGGTGCTCTACCTCTACATTACACTCCAAGCCTTTTTATTTAAAAAATATTTCACTTTGAGAGAGGTTTTTACTAAGTTGCCCAGGCTGGTTTCACACTTGCCATCCTCTTGACAGCCTTCCTGAGTCACTGGGATTATAGGCATGTGACACTACATCTGGCACCAACATTATTCTTGATTCCTTCCAAGTCACCTCATTTTCCAAATTCAATCATTAGAAAGTCCTCTTGGCTCTACTTTCAAAATATTCTGAATCTATACTTGGCACCCACTGTGGATTGGATATGGTTTGATTGTGTCCTCCAAAGGCTCATGTACTAGAAAAGCTTGGCCTCAGTGTGGCAGGTTCAAGCTGGTGGGAACTTTCAGAAGTGAGATGTAGTGGAAAATAATAAGGTTATGGCATAGCTGGTCTCATGGATTAAGTTTCCTAAAGAATGGATTGTTAAAGTCAGGCATGGGGAGGGGATCCAAGATGGTGGGCCAGAGGGAGGCAGCATCTTGTGTCACTCCATGATGGGGTCTCAACTAGTGCGAATACTGCTTTGCTGAGAGTGATAGAGGACCCCTCCATAGCTGATCCCGCATAGGCCCCTGGCCTCAGTGTTAGAAAAGGACTCCCGACTACTTGCCCATGCAGGTCTCAAGGGTGCCTTAGTGGGACCACTGGCATTAGGACTGTGCAGAATTAGGTGCAGAATTCCCAGATGCCACTCCTACGAAGGACACTCAGCTGCTACCCACGTGCAGGAATCCTGGCTGGCACTCCCTTGTGGACCCCCAACTACCAATGTAGGGTTCCCCTGGTCGCCTCCATCTTGGTACTCGGCAGCTACTACCATAGTCCCCTACTTGCAGTAGCCTGCCAGCACCTGGGGACATCACAGACTCTGAAGAAAGCCAACAGCCACAACACGGCAGTGCTCATCTCTGAACATATCACATAATGCCATTACCTGGCTCCTGTCACCCAACCTGACACCCCATTATTGAAAATAGCTGCCTGTTGGGTGCAGAGCAGGATGAACTGTGTTGTCTGCAGGGCAGGCTGAACAGATGTTGGCTGCAAGATAGCCCACGCACTCAAACCCCCCTCTATCTGGTCCTTTATCACCTGTTTGTGTCAAGTCTGAACATTCAACCACGCCCAAGGCTGAACACTTAACCCCCCTTGTGCCAACAAGGCAGCTTGCAGACCCAGAGGCCCCATTAGATTTGGGCTATAAAAACTCCCTCCTGCCAGGCCCCCCTCTCTCTTGCTCTCTCTCTCTCTTGCTCTCTTTGTCTTTCTTGCGCACGCTCTTTGTCTCTTGCTCTTGCTCTCTCCCTCTTCGTCTCTCCTCTCCTCTTCTTTTCTCTTCTCTCTCTCTTTCTTTCTCTCTTTGTCTTTCTTGTGTGTGCTCTGTCTCTCTCTCTTGCTCTCTCCCTCTTCATCTCTCCTCCCCTCTCTCTCTCTCTCTCTCTCTCTCTCTCCTTCTTTCCTTCTTTCTTTTCTCTTTGTTGCACTGCTGCAATAAAGATGTTTTGGTTGCTCCGAGTGTTGTGGTCACTTTTCTTTCACTGCCTCCATCTTGGAGTCACCTCCATCACCATCTTTAGTGGGGCGAACTACCAGTTTGGAATGCTGGATAGCCAGGTACCCCTAGTTTATCTAATTCCCCCCAATCCCAGCAGCCACTAACTCGACAGAGTGACTGCCCAATTCAAAAGAGCCCTCCATGACAATTGGCAGCCACCAAAATGCAACACACAAGACCCCTAGAGAGAAAGGTTCCTGATTAGGAAGAAGAAAGGGAGAGGGTGAGGACATACACTTTAGGGACTAATTTGCAGGAACTGTGAGGTCTTCAGGCAAGATGAGGAGATAAGACCAGGCACCCGCATCACAGGAGCAGACCCCAAAGATGATTCTTGCGGTGCAGTCTCCAAACGGGACCTACAGGTGCCATACTCCACTTCCAGGTGCCCAGTGCCCAAGACCAACCTTCACACCCTGGTAACTCCCACCATCCTGAGGGTGGAGATACCAACTAAGAACAGACAACCCCACCAATTGGGTGAGAAGGGAATCAGGAAAGATACTGATCTCCACAAAAAACAATCCTTGTTTCTTCTTTGAGATTTTTTTTTCTTTCTTCTCCCTCTTTATTCTCCCACCCTTACATCCCCAACATATGTGAAACCAAATACTTTGCATGAATTAGGATATTGAGGACTGAGACGACTGAATAGTATATCATAGTAGTGTTGTATATTCTACTTTTTTTTCTTTTTTGTTTTTTTTCTCTCCCATTTTTACTATTTTAACATTTTTTATTTTTCTTTATATATGTGTGTGTTTGTCTTATGTACTCTACTGTATTTCCTCTTACTTGTCTACCTAAAATTACTACCTCTCTATTCTCCTGCTACTAACCTTCTTCTTTAAATTTCTCTTTCACACTTCCTAAGATATAATAACTTTATATTCTCATGTACTGGAAAAGGTTGGCCTCAGTGATCAAACTGTAAACATCTTGGTAACAACTATTTGTTTTTAGGTGGTATTTTGTTTATATTGGAATTTGTTAACATTGTCCTTCCCCTCAAAGGAGAGGTATTGGAACCCTACAGAGGCACTATAAGTCTATAGGGCAAAAATAATAATGCCTCGAATCCACAGAGCTAGAAAGGAAGACACACGAGCAACATGAAAAGACAAGGGAAGAACATGCCCCAAACAAATCAAGATACCACATTAAGAGAATCCATGGCCAGCACAGCAGATAAAATGACAGAAGTGGAGTTCAGGATGTACATAATTAAAATGTTCTGTGAATTAAAGGATGATATAAGAGAGCAAATATAGGCAACAAAAGATTTTGACAAAGAGCTACATAAGTAAATACAGGAAGCAAGAGATTACTTCAATAGGAAGATAGAGGTTCTTTTTTTTTTTTTAAAGAGAGAGAGAGAGAGAGGATTTTAATATTTATTTTTTAGTTTTTGGTGGACACAACATCTTTGTTTGTATGTGGTGCTGAGGATCGAACCCGGGCCGCACGCATGCCAGGCGAGTGCGCTACCGCTTGAGCCACATCCCCAGCCCCGATAGAGGTTCTTAAGAAAAAGAAAACAGAGATCCTTGAAATGAAAGAAACAATAAACCAAATTAAAAGCTGAATACAAATCATCACCAATAGATGAGGCTACTTGGAAGACAGGACCTCAGACAATGAAGACAAAATACATAATCTTGAAAAGAATGTAGATAACACAGTGAAACCATGAGCAGAATGT